AGGACTGACTCACGGCTGCCTCTGCTGGACACTAGGGGGACTGCAGGTTTCATCGTTAGTTTTTATGTCCCAAAGGTGGGAAAAGATCCCAACCATAACCTGCAGGGGGCGCTGCAGTCCTGTGTTCATGCTGTCTTCAGCAGTAAAACTTTTTTGAAGAATTTTACAGATTAAGCGATCAGAGTGAAGACAAAGCTCAGAGTTCTCCAAAGGAATCAGACCAGAAAAAGTCTTTTTGGACTGATCTGAACTGCCGCTCATTATAAAAAATTCTTCTGTAAATATATTTTGTATAACGAAACAAAAGGTCTTCATTCAGACACATTAAAAATATTTTTTTTAGTTCAGTGTGTTTTGCTTTTAGGCACTAAGAGGTTACTTCTAATCAGTGAGAGCTTTTTAATTCCTAATTTGTACCTAAACTTTTGCATTTCCAGCCAGATATATTTATTTAAAGAAGAAAAGTCATATTTTGGAGATATTTTGGCGTGTTTGAGCAGTGAAGTGCCTTTTTGTGGAAAAGCTTCTGTTAATGTTTCAGCATTTTGGCCGTTAACCAAAAAGATAATGGTCTCCCCGAGTAACTGTTTAAAAGCAGGGCTGGTGAGTGGTGCTGGTCGGCACGTTGGTCCAGAATGGAAACAAAGATTTCTTTGTTTTTTTCTGCGGTTTCCTCCCTGCAGCCATCGCTGAGGACTTAACCTGACACTTCTGCCTGAAAAAGACAATTAAAAGCTGGAGTTTTGCCATCTTATTAACTTTTGCAAATCAAGGAAGCAGTTATTGTTTAACAGCTCCGTCTGTTTCCTGGCAGGAAGGATAATTAGCGTGAAGGAGAGAGCATTGCGAGTGGCGTCTCGGCTCTGTCACAGGGAAACACCGGGGGCCGGAGCTTAAAGCTTCTCCTCTGCTTTTGTTTCCTCTCGAGGGACGCTCGCTTTGAAGAGGACGACAGTTGTTGTTTTTTTGTTTTTTCCTGTTGCACGCTCGCTGAATACAAACGGAGACGCAGCCAGAACAACCAGTCCTGGTTGGGAGGTTCACATCCTGATAAAGATTGACTTTTACTTTGCCCGCACTCACAGTTTCTCCTTGCCTTCATCTGGCTGTTCTCCGTCTGTACAGCCCCTCAGAGCATCCTTTTACCTTCTGCTCTAAGAGTTCGGGGCATGATTAGGTTTGGGTTAATCACTTCGCAGTCAGCACTGTAAAACTGACTCGATTATTTCTGCATTACAGCTTCAATAACGATGACTTCCAGGATTTCATCAGACAGCAGCATGAAATTCATCCTGCGCAGAGCGACTGTCGCCTCGGGCTCCCAAACACTCGTTTAATTAAGCTTCATTTACAGTCTATGACTTCAGATCGCTTTGTTTTCTCTCATTAATGCATTTCTTATTAACAGCAACCACACACAACGGAAACATTCACCTCCTCTCCAAGTCACTGATATGATATGAAACTCCCAAACAGAGTAACTGAACGGATCTGTTTAATTAGCTGAATTCAGTCTTTATTTATTTATTATCCCCTTCCTCAGCATTCACAGGACTTTTCCACTGAAACTCTGCAGATATTTCTGTATATTAATAGTTTCTGCAGACACACATATTGATGTTTCTCCTCCTTTTCTGCTTCTGCTGTCAGATACCTGAAGCCCGACATAGAGAAGAAATCCAAGCACAAAACGGCCGTGATGAAAAGGACCCTGAACCCTGAATTTAACGAGGTAAGATCCCCGCAGCTGCTCCCCTCGGCCGAATGGCAGCTCTGCCCTCACACAGCAGTGCTGTTAACAAGCTCGCTCCATTCACCTCAGCGGTTAAAGTTTCATTTATATCGGGTCCGGCTCGCCGACGCCATCGCTGGAGGATGAATCTCCTGCATGTTGTTTTCCTCTCAGAGGAAATAACTCGTGTTTCTCCCACATCGGCGGATGATAGACCGACTGCGCTTCTCTGGCACTGAAATGAGTTTTTCTAGCTGGTGATGGAAAAAATTCAAGTGCAAACACTATTTCCTAATTTTATGGAAGAAACTGTAAAATGTATTGCTTTGAAGTATCAATAGATGTTGCTAGAAACATTTTGTTAAGGAGAAGACTGAAGTTAGAATATGTGTGATTTAGGTGTTAAAAGTCCAGTCATGTGGTGGCGGCCAATTAATCAGGGTATTCCAGTTTTAATCAGGGTAAAGACCCTGCAATATTACAGAGAATCAATATCATTAACAATCACACAAAGCCCTGTGAGCAAGTACTTGGTGACAGTGGGAAGGAAAAACTCCCTTTTAACAGGTTTTAACAGGAAGAAACCTTCAGCAGAACCAGGCTCAGGGAGGTTGAGCTGAGGGGAGGAAGACAGGACAAAAGACATGCTGTGGAAGAGAGCCAGAGATGAATAAGACATCATTTTCCAGCAGCATTGTCTTCCAGTTCCTCCTGAAGCACTTCAAAGCCAAACAAGGTCTCTCTACCAAGTTCCAGATGTACCCCGGGTTCACCTTCTCGACAAAGACAAGGTGGGAGTGACAGACTGGTCTGAACAACGCCACAAAGACGACTTTTCAACACCGAGAGATGAGAACAGGTTGGAAAACTAGTTTGAGGTGTTGACTTGGCCTTGGTCCCAAGATCTCGATCCGACTGAGGAACTGTAGGGTCTGCTGGGAAAATGAGGCCGATCCATGGAGGGCAGAGAACACCTTCAGAAGTCCGCAGAGTTCTCGATGGGTCAAAGCGAGGAGGATCTGTAACATTAGGATCGGTGGATCTGACCAATCAGTGAATTTTAGCTTCCTGATGGGGTTGGAGGGTCTGGTTGCCTCATCTGAGCTGCAGGTCCACCCAGCGTGGAGGACCACCTCTCAGCCCCGTATGCACTCCATCCCTGCATCTCTTCCTCTTGTTTCTGTGTTCACTGCAGGAGTTCTTCTATGAGATCTCCCTGTCAGAGCTGGCCAACAAGACTCTGGAGGTCACAGTGTGGGACTACGACCTGGGCCGCTCCAACGACTTCATAGGTGAGCGAGCGATCAGCCCCATCCACCACTCGCCTGAACCCTGCAGCTTCTTGGGAAGTTGTCAGAAATGTGTTTTGTACTTGCGTGGAGTGTCTCAGTAAGTTTAACATCGTCCTCTGGCTCAGCTGTGAAAAACTGCTGTAAATATTCATGAGTCTAACACATGCTGAGATTAGTGTGTTTAAGCTTATCACTGCATATTTATCACAATTACCATCTGGATTACTGACTTAATTCTTCCGTTTTCATAAACGGTTCCTACTCCGTTAGTATTCTCATGTTTGTCCTCAAACAGCCAGAGAGGACACCTGAGGCGAGACTGTTACGCTAACTGCAGGAAGTCTTCCTGTGCTTCCTTCCTGTTGTTCAGGTGGCGTCTGTCTGAGCTCCAAGTCCCAGGGCGACGCCCTCCGTCACTGGACCGACTGCCTGAAGAACAAGGGCCAAAGGGTGGAGCGGTGGCACATCCTGACCAACGAGCTGCCGCGAACCCTCAGCCACGACTAACCCCGAGCAGCGGCGTCCACGCATGCAGACGGTCGCTGTCGATGTTCACAGAGATTCTCGGGGTTTTTACAGCACAGACGTGAGCGACTTCAGCACAGGAAACAGCGGTAACTTAATGGACGAGTGTATTATAATATGAGCCGCCATGAGAGCAGGGCGAGGCCGGAGCAGCATGGTGGTGTGCCTTCATTATTGATCTGTAAGTCATCTGGAGCAAAGAGGCCGTTGGGTCCATCAGCAGTGTCACATCTGCACTCAGCATCAAAAAACAGGGTCAATCTCCCGACTCATGAAGGGTGGAACTCTCCGGTGACGCGATGTGGCAAACAACATTTACAGAAACTAAGGGGCTGGAAGAGGCATTACAATTAAATTAGAACAAAAACCTTAAACGTTTTGAGAAAAGTTACAAATTTGCCACAAAAAGTGAACGTTTTGTAAACAATAATATTATCTTTGACATGTTTTGGCAGCTTTTCATGAACCTTGTTTTAAATTTTACTTAATTTTTTTGTAAATCTGCCCATTTTTCATAAAATTTGTGTATTTGTTTCTTTTTAGTTTGTTTGGTTTTCTTATATTTTCACATCAAAAGACTTTTGTCTTTGGGGTTTTTTTTCATTCTTATTCATACATTTTCTCTGTTTCCTCTTGAATTTTCCTTTTTTTGGAGAAGTTTAAATTCTAGTAAATATAAAAATTTTCTCATATTTTTTTGCTGTTTTTCTTTAGTAATTTTATATTTTCTCTCGTAAATTTGCCATTTTTTCCCTCATAATCTCGCTCCTCTGCCGAGCCCCTTAGTTGTGATTTTTGCCCTCTCCTGGCCTAATTTGCCATCATAGGAACTCATCAAAGTTAAGAGAAAATGTGTGGAATTTAAGGCTGAAATGGATTTGCATGTTATTTTCCTGTGCATTACGTGTCTGGTGCTCTTTTAAAAAGTAAAAACGAGAAAGTCAAGCAGTCAGAAAATCTCTGTTCTCTGTTTACACTGAACTGTTGTTCCTTTGCTCGAGCACAGTTCAGTCCTGCAGTACTTACACAGCATGCTGTGCCAGGTTTACATGTACGTATAATCCAGACTGTGAGAAACATGCATGGACGTGTCTTGTGTTGCACTATAGCTAACAGCTAAAAGAGCTTTTGGGAGAAACTGAGCGCTAACGTTAGCTAGCTAAAAAGCTGATGGACTTGTAGCAAAGAACAGCTGAGCTGATCCACTTCCTGTTAATCCCATTTGACACAAAATGTCGGCAGTTCAGCAGGAGGCGCTCTGAATGATTTCCCACTGCTCCTGCACAAAACGTCCAAATTTCATTTCAGTTTTAACCGACCTAGCATCCATAACGTGTCTGAACTGAAAGTCTTATGTGACAGTCGGCGCTTTGATAAACGGAATATTTCAGCTCGATGTGCTTCGGCATCGTGGAGTAACGTGTGGAGAGGAAGCTGAACCCATTTAAAGATGAAACACATCAAAATATGGACAACGTGAAGCTTTACGTTTGCTGGTGTAAAGTCGAGTCTTACAGTTGGTGGTGTTTTAACTCATGGGTTCAGGGAGGTCAAAACCTTCCTGCCCTTTGGATGATGCCGTCGTTTTGTTGAGTTTCAGCCGTCACACGGAGGACGTGGGGTTTCTGTTCGCTGTTGTGGATCATTTGGTTTCGTTTTGTTGGTAAAAACTGGTTGAAAATGATGACGAATGTAACTTCAGTTCAGTTATGCCTCCAGTGTAACATTACGTCTGTGGTAATGAGACCTGTTTAAATCAGTGGGTAGCTTTTTCAAGTGTGTTGTTGGGGGAAAAGACTTGACGGGGTGCTTTTCCTTACTGTAGCTGTGGTTTGGGGCCAGAAACACTTTTGATGGAGTTTGGATGCAAAGCTTTATTTTGCGGAGCACCGTGCAAATATCATCCTAACTGCATTTTAAAATAATCTCTGGTAAAAGTTTTTGTTCATATGTATTACTCTGTGGTGACTCAAGCATGTGCGTCAGCGAGGACTCCATCCACAGCAGTGACCACCAGTCTTAAAGGGGATCTATTGCAGTTTTATTCTCTCACATATATACAGATATGTTAAAAATAAGTTTATGGTTTTATTTAACTTTACCTGAAACTAATGACTGACACATAAACTCAGCAGGAAGGGAGGCGAGGGTCCTTTTCTGTGGCCATGACAAAGAATGCAAGTTCCCCTCCCTGTGCAGACATGGAGGTAACGCCCTCGATTACTCTGTCTGCACTCACGAGTGATTAATCACGTGGACGCTTACATGTCACTGGGACTGATGGATAGTTGGTCGTTTATTCAGCTGTGTGAAAATCCCAAAGGAACCCACCTGGGGGATTAATAGTTTTATTTTATCTAATCTAATAATTTTGATCTCAGCCAAACCGATTTACTCACGAACAAATAAAACACTGAAAAAAGCCAAACAATTACATTTTTAGGTTATCCTAGTGACGTATATATCATGTTTAACCTGAGTAACGAAAGATCACAGGGGGTCTGAAAACGATGAAGCTGGGAGTTCGCTGCTCTTGTCGGCTCCAGTGACCCTCGAGCTCCCGGTCAGCGATCGAGCTGGTGGGTAACAGACGTCTCTGAAAACGTCAGAGCAAATATGCGATGTCTTGATGAAACGAACAGATATTTGAGGTTTACACAGCTACATTTTCACCTGAAAATATGTTAAAGCTTTAATTTGTGACCCAGAAAGAGAAATAAGAGAAATATTAAAACT